CTGGTCCGAGGAGCTGAAGGTGATGCCGCACTTGGACCACCTGAGAGGGCGAGTTGCTTCGGTCTTGGGGAGCGCTGCATTCACCTCGCGCATGAACTACTTGAAGATGCAGTGGGAAGCTAGGGCATGTGAGCCGCCCAAGATGCAGGTGATGGCTCGAGGCTCCTGGAAGCCCCCAGCCCCCTCGTCTTGATGGTGATCTTTGTTACTTCTTGGCGGTGGAGGCAGTGGAGGCAGACCGGCATTGCCCTGAGGGCGCTCCTCATGAGGCTGCTCCCTCCAGGCGCCCTCGCGAGGTTGGCCCTGCCAGTGGTCCCCCCGAGGCTGGTCGCACCACTCCTGACAGTGGTCGCGTCCGTCCTAGCGTCCTCCGCCTCGGCCACCTTCACGATTGTAGCCTCGATCGTTGCGCTTGGGGCGTTAACCGAGGTGCCCGTCGCAGAGGGCCCTGAGCTCCTGGCAGTCATTGGTGTTGTGGTTGTGAACATTGTGGAAGACGCAGAACGGCCGGTTGCTCTTGGGTGACTCGGGATGGTCGCAGCCACGCTTCGTCTCCGGCTCGGCCGCAAGCACGGCCGGCCCCTTGCGCTTCACGTCCTTGGCCTTGGCCTTCTTGTCTTCTGGGTCAGCATCGGGGAGCTCGAGGAGGGAGAGGCGCCCCTCCACAGCCCTCGCGCACTTGTTCGCCATGTTGAACATCTCCAGAGCTGTGCAGAGATCCTCATGGATGGCGAGCTCCTCCTTCATCTTGACATTGCGGACGCCATCAGTGAACGCTGAGATGATGGCCTCGTCTAACACCTTGGGAACCTTGAGACGAACATTGTTGAAGCGCTGTATATACTTCTGCAAGGTCTCTCCAGGTTGCTGCTTGATGCGACGTAGGTCACCCGCGGCCGGTGGACGGTCGCGAGTGCCCTAGAAGTTGGCGATGAAGCGGCCGCGCATCTCCTCCCAAGAAGAGACCGACCCCTCGGGCAAGTTCAGGAGCCAAGAACGCGCGCCCTCCTTGAGGGCCATTGGGAACCAGTTTGCCATGATCTTCTCATCGCCGCTGGCCGCCTCGATGCTCAGCTCGTAGAGCTGCAGGAACTCGGGGGGTCAGCGGTGCCGTCGTAGCGTGGAGGCAGGTCGGGCTTGAACTTTCTTAGCCAGACGATATTGCAGAGCTCCGGGGTGAATGCGCGGCATCCTGTCATGGCCACTGGAGCCCGTCGAGGGGGTGGAACCTGGTCCTGGTGCACGTGCACCGCCACCTCCTGTGGCGGTACATGGGCCTGGTGCGGGGGCGCTGGAAGGACGCACGCTTCTCCTTGAGGTCGCTACACCACCTGGCAGCTCACATCCTCCCGAGCAGGCGCTGGGCGCGGCGGGTCGCGCCGCGGCGCCACACGCCTTGGCTCGACGATGGCGCTCTGGGCCGGAGGTGGTGGAGGATCTCCGTGAGCCACGTCGCCTACAGCGGGCGGCCGCTGAGGCAGGGAGTGGGCCGGCGCGACGGAGCCCCTCGCCGCGTTGACAAGCTCAGTGATCTACTCGAGCCACTCCTCATAGAAGTCGTCGACCGGGCGGCAGTGAAGGAACTCCCGCGCCATGAGCAGAGCGGCCTGTGCGTTCGCCGGGCCATGACGCGAGTGGGAGGATGAAGCTGCTGGAGTCACTGATGGAGTAGCAGTGCGCCGGTCGTGGCGCACCGACGGGTGCAACGAAGAAGCTTGCTACTCGTGGCCGGTAGGGTCCGTGGCGGCGTTGGCCACCGAAGACGGAGCAAGACGAGCGCAGTCATCGCCTACCGGAGCCCTCTGAGTGACTGCGGCCCGGCGCTCGTCAGCCATGGAGTTGTCGGAGTGACAGTGGATCGATCGATGGAAGAGAGGATCCGACGCACCCCTACCTGGCGCGCCAAATGTCGGATTACGGGTTCCGCAAACCCTTGCGAGGTTCGAACTTTGGGGTGCGTGCGGACATCTCAACCTACCCAGCCTGCCTACTCGTGATTCTCCTAAGCCTAGCATGTCGAGCTCAAAGAGACAAAGGGACACCGCAGTTTATCCTGGTTTGGGCCACCTTGTGGTGTAATACGCTACTCCAGCCTTTTGGTGGATTGCCTTGGAGGGCTGAGGATGAACTAGTACAGTGGATGAACTGGCCTCAGGAGGTGAGGTGGTCTAGAGCTCAAGAGAGCTGGTGAGGTGGTCAGGTGAGAATCGATCCCATCCCCTCTATGGTGGTGGCTAAGTCCTATTTATAGTGGCATCGGTCTTCTTCCCAAATATAGGCGGGAAGGGATCCCATGACGGCCGGATTTGAAAGGGGACAAGCAGTTTAGCTTATCCTGACAAAAGTAGTCTTCGTCTGCGAAAAGCTTCTGGTCGTGACGCTGCGGTGGGCTCGGTGATGACCTCCGTCCTGCCGTCCTGGCGGTCTTGGTCTTGTTGCATCAGAATGGAAACCTTTGGCTGATTTCTCGGGACACCGCGCTTGTGGCTTGCCTCCTTTGCACCGAAGAGGAAACCTGCGCTCTGCGCCCGCTTGGCGCCTGCCTGGCCTTGGTTGTCATGGCTCACATCAGCTGAGCCTCGTGAGGTGAACCTTGCATAGAACTCTCCGCCCCTCGGGAGCCAGCCTGAGGAGGCCGATCCCCTCGAGGGTCTTGGCGTCGTCCGCATCGCGAGGCTTGGCCCCTCGTGAGGGTCTTGAGCTGTTGATATTGAAGTTGGGCCATATCAGGCCGTCGATGGAGCCACGTGATGGGCCGCGGGCAGGCAGGGCTGGATACCCCCATATCCAGAACGCCGACACTGACATGCGGGCCCAACCATCCGCGTGCATTGACTAGGGTAGGTGGGAGGTAGTTGGACGGCCGACACGCGGGTCCGAGGCGGACGCCGAGACGCCGCGTGCCCGTTCGTTCGTTGTCTGACCACAAAGCTGGATCAAGTATGCGCCTGAAATGAGTCGAGCCGGACAAAAAACAGACACAATTTGAGAATAGGTCGCGCGTTGAGCCGGCTCGTCTGTCCGTTTGGGCCCAAACAGACAGACCCGACGATCTGGGGTCGCGCGTAGCAACTCTTCTGCTAATCTTCAGAGGAAAAAAAGAAAGGTAGCTAGCTTCGGCCCTGCCCATGAAGTGAGTCCACCTACAAATGCTAGGACAAGTCTACAACACACGAAGCAACCCAAACCCCATCATCACGCACGTATGTAACCGAGCGGGGATGTTTTGCGGATATGGCACCCAAAGTCAAGCATTTCATCACGCATCGCCAGTCAGCAGCAAGGAACCTTTCCCCCTCGTCCTCCCCACGACTCCACCCGGCAGCTTTCTCCCCTTCCACACCGCCTTCGCCTTTGCCTTTTCGTTCCGTTTCAGTTGGTGAGGCAGGCGATCGCCGAGTCTGACAAGCGACCAACCCCCGCGAAGACAAACACGGCCAGCCACCGTCCGCACGCCACACGATCGGCTGTACTACTCGCCCGGACGGGACCGGTCCACCCGTGCGCCTGCTTCTTGGTGCGATGCGGTGCAACCGGGTCAGTCGGATGATCCAGTCGCAGGTCAATTTCTTCCACGGGGGATGTGACTTCTGGAACGGAGAAATAAACTAGCCATGGTACTGCACTGGTTGGTCATGGAATCTTCTTCCTAGTTCCTGGTTCAAAGTGGTGATGGCAACCCCTCTGCCTCCGTGGGGTTGGTGCAATAGGACTTGCTGTACGACTGCGCAGATACGCGTGAGATCGACGTGCCGAATGCCATTTCCGGTCCCAGAGGCCCTTATTTAGTGGTCTAATTTTCGAAAAACAAATCTGAACGATTAGGCGTTGATTGACGCCATCCTCGAGTAGCGTCGCGTCATTTCGTTCCATAACAAGGAAAGCAGCAGCGGCTTCTGCACTTGATGATCCGTCCAATACGCTCTCTCACCTGAATTCAGAGAAGAGCATTCACGTTTTCAAGGGGCAGTGGTCGGCTGAATCTTCCAGGAACTAGCCCCTGTAGCCAAGAGATTGGTCCAGCAAAAGAAGCGTAGACTCGTTTGTGCTTGTGGCGCCGTTTTCCGTCGTGCGGCGTTGGGATTAAAGTTCAGTTAGACTGGAAGGATACATACATACAGACAGGTGGCGGGAGAGCGAGAGGAGGAAGAGGACAAACCGATCGGCGATGGATGGATGCAGCGGGCAAAGCCGCCACCGAATCGAGAAAATCCGCTTTCGATGGGTCGCTTTTCCACGAGCGCCTCTCTGGCTCACTTTCTCCCCGAGGAAAAACCGAAAGATAAGGGGAGGGAGGAGAAATTCCGGTCCCGACATTTCTCGAAGCATTAGAAGCGGCCCAGGTGCGTTGACGAAAGGACACCCGATTCGTCCCTGCCCACCCCAGGGCCTCCATACACACGTCCCACCGTACACCACGCGCACACCAGCCACGTGGCCGCGAGTCCCGTGCTGGTCCACGGTGGGCGCTATCCACGGAGCACAGTGGAGCGAGCAGCGGCCACGGCTCTAGGGAAGCGAGGGGAAGGTTCTTATTTGGACCGGCCGGGGGCAAGCACGCAGAGCACGCACTGAAACCAGAGCCCCGGACCGAAAGCAACCTCCGCTCGCGCTTGCGACGGCGTGACCCCCCCCGTCCTCTGTCTCTCCGTCCGTCCTTTATATCCCCCGCGGCTGCAGAGGCGGGCGAGGCTAGCGGAGGTAGGAGAAGAGAGGAGAGCCATCGCGGCAACCACAAACAAACCCAGCTGAAAGGCGCACACACCACCGTGCAGGTTACATGGGAGGAGGCCGCGGTCTGGTCACCGGGTTCTACGTCTGGGGCTGGGAGTTCCTCACCGCGCTCCTCCTCTTCTCCGCCGCCCTCTCCTGCTAGCTTCTCGATCAACCCTTGAATCTTGATTGATTATAATCCAGTTCTACACATACATAGATACACCAAACTTACTAGTATTAGGTAGAGAGACATCTGTTAGGTGATTGTGATTGAGCCGGCGAGGATGGCCGGGGCGGCGGCGCAGCAGCAGCAGAAGGGTGGTGATGGTGGTGGTGGTGTGGTGAGGGTCGGCGGCGGAGGGCCGGCGCCGTTCCTGACCAAGACGCACCAGATGGTGGAGGAGCGCGGGACGGACGAGGTGATCTCGTGGAGCGAGCACGGGCGGTCGTTCGTGGTGTGGAAGCCCGTGGAGCTCGCCCGCGACCTCCTCCCGCTCCACTTCAAGCACTGCAACTTCTCCTCCTTCGTCCGCCAGCTCAACACCTACGTACGTATACCACCCTCCTCCAAACACACACTCTCTTTGCAATACTCTACCTCTGCCTTCGCTAAATTAATCACTCCCGTCTGCACCACTGATCAACGACTTACGACTTGAGTAGAGTATGCGTTCTTGTTTGGTTTTTATTATTATCTGGAAAAAAGAAGCATCTCGTTCGTCCTCTTAGAGTGATTAGAGATTAGAGATGCAAGTGATGGATCCATATCCTAGTAGCTTGTACCGGAAGAGATTACTGTGATCAGATACGCTCGGCAGCTTCCAGACACGCCCCTGACGTGTCCACGGAAAGCTCTCGGTCCCTCTAGCTTTTGTTCTCCACACGACATATTAGTGCGTACTCACGCATACTACTAGTACTACAGTCGCACAGATTGAGCGCACAGCCGGTGGATTCTTCTCCGGCGAGGAAGCTCGTAGTTGGTACTGGTAGTAAGAACTACCGTCACCGAGACCGAGGCGAGGCACGTGACATGCACGAACGGATGTTTCTGGTTGGGATTTCATTTTGCTGTCTCGGCCGTACACGTCCTAGAATGGATCTACTACACATACGGCTAGCCAGCGCGCATGTTCCACTGTTCGCGGTGGGGTCTGTCCAAAAGCGCGTGTGGACTTTGGGCACATCGAACGGGTGAAGTATCTCGAGCTAGCTAATTACATACTCATGTTTGTTGGACGGACAAATCTGGATTTACCGGCTAGTAGTGCAGAAGAAATACATGGAAGAAAGTGACATATCAAGCAAGGCTAGTACCTTATTTTTCCTAGTAGGCTGTTTGTTGGAACAATATGGAAGAAAGATGACGCCCAAAGAGCCCTTTCTGGTCGACCTAAAACGTAGAAAACGAGCAAAGCGTTTTACTTGTCGTGTCATGCAACCATATGTATATAAAAAAGCCTCTTTGTGCTGACCATTGACAGGGTAGGTAACAACAAATTTAGCTACGTGTGCGCGTGCCGTCTGCAAGTCAATAAACCATTTCAGTTTTAAAAT